CATAAGTTTACAAGATACAGAAATGTACAATGTCAAGTATTAAGTAAGGCTTTTATTTTAACAACATCCCTTCTTCCCTTTCCCTTTAGCTGGAGTTTTTTTAGAAGGAAAATCCCCCTGGTTTGATAGTCTCTGAGATGGTCTTACTGATGGTAATAACTGTTCTTTTAAGGAAAAGAGAGAAGTTAGTTGTGATGGGCTGGAGTTGTTGTTAACATCCGAGTCCGTTTCCTTTAAGACATAACAAAACAAACACACAGAAAAGGGGAGAGAAAGGAACAGAAAAGACAGAAAATGCAGCTTCTGTCTTTGTCGCTGACTCTCACTTGCAGTTTCACTGCTGGAAAAAAACAGGCCCAGCACATGGTCTGATCAGCCACTCCGTGACCTGGCACACTTGTGCCAGCATCGGGCTGGTTAGAGCTTTGCTTTTAGCAGCCTCTTTCTGGTCACTGGCTTATAGCAGTGTTGCAAAATACACAGTCTTGGTCAGCAAAGCCAGATTCTTATTAAACTAGGGTGACCAGATGTCCCAATTTTATAGGGACAGTCCCGATATTTGAAGCTTTTTCTTATATAGAAGCCTATTACCCGCCATCCCCTGTCCTGATTTTTCACAGTTGCTGTCTGGTCACCCTATATTAGAAGGAAAAAAGAGGGCAAGACAGGAAAGAGAAGAACTAAGGTAGGAAAAGACAAGAACACTGTGGGAGGCAGGAAAGAGAGAGACAAAATTTCACATCCCAGGTGGTGGTCAGGATTCAGCTGGAGCTGGTGAAGGTGACGATATAATCTGGCCCCGATCTGGTCAGGACATATTTTAGGATTGGGATGAAGAAGGTCCATGGTCCAAGGGTGGGGGTGGCAGCCAAATGCTTGTTCCTTTCGCTTCTCTTGTCTTTTAGTCAGCCATCATTGTGGTAGTCAGCTTTTCCCAAAAAAGTCTCTTTTTAAGGAACCTAATAGGGGATTGGTGGGTGGGTTAGCTTGTCCTTTTATTATTTTGTCCATCAATTAGACCTAGTTTTTGACACCCTAATTTTGGTTCACTGATTTTTTTGTTCCACACTTTTTTGTTTTCCAAGCACGTTTTTAACACAGCATGTTTTTAACACAGTCCTTAAGTTATATCAGTAGGGCTTTTGGTTTGGACTAATTAAATTTTTTCTGTCTTGTTTTTTCACCTTTTTTTCATGAACATTTGTTGTATTAATTTTATGAACTAACACTTACTTACTTTTGACAATTAAGCTTACCGTTAGGATAAATTTGTAGGCCAAATTATTATAACATTGCATGGCAGTGCCTCATACCCTTCCAGAAGGTAGAAGTTACCACCTGAAAACTGACACTGTTGAGAACCAAGAAATACACTCAACAAAACAAACATGGGCAGGAATGGTATCCCTAACCTCTGTTTGACAGAAGCTGGGAATGAGCGACAGGGGATGGATCACTTGATGATTACTTGTTCTATTCATTCCCTCTGGGGCATCTGGCACTGGCCACTGTCGATAGACAGGATACTGGGCTAGATGGACATTTGGTCTGACCCAGTAGGGCCATTCTTATGTTCTTATCATATTCTCCTAGAAAGCTGGCTTCTCATGAACCTCCAAACGAATGGGAAGAAGAAAAGGCTGCAGTTTGCAAGACAGCTGATGTCTCATTCTGAGGCTCTCTGATTGGGATCAATATCAGATCAGGCCTATTTCAGACACTTGTGTTAGTTTGTTTTTGGCAAAAACCGTCAATGAAAAACTTCCCTTTCTCACTTTAGGTTTTTAAAGCAAGAATAAGCAACATCCCCACAATAAAGAAGTTCCTACAGCCTGGCAGCCAGAGGAAGCCTCCCCCTGATGAAAAACTTGTAGTGACTGCAAACAAAGTTTTCAACAGGAAATAATAGCTGGATTCCCTTTAGTGTGGTTAGTCAGCTTCTCTTACTGCTCTAAGCTTCTGTGGGAGGGACTGTCATTTTCATTTTGTACAGTGCTGCGCATACAATAAAAATACCATGTTAACTGATACAAGGATCATGTGAATGTAAATCATAATATTTTTTTAGACTGTTATGTGAACATGCCAGAAAGGTAAATCCATGAATAGAACATGATCCACAAATACTGTTTGAAACAACATACTGTAGAAAGCATTTTGAACAAAATTACAACTCAGTAAATAAGCAATATCTTAAAAATGGGAGAGTGCATGCAGATTTCAATAAATAAGGTTTCCTCATACTTCTTGTTTCTGTGTAACTTCTTTATGATGACAGATTTAGATAAAAGTTGGTTTAAAGAAAGGGGGAAACATTTTGTGTGTGCGAAGATAGAGCAATGTTGAAATATGCACTTGGTAGGAGGCCTATCTGTCAGGTCTTTTAATGGCCCAGTCATTGGTGCTGACCAGAGCGGCCAGGGTCCCTTTTCAGCCAGGCATTCCGGTCAAAAACCAGGCACCTGGCAACCCTAGTATGGGCTTCATCACCTCCTCAGAGATACCAAAGGGGTGTGGTCAGGTGGAACTGGATGTTTTGATCCAGTGCAATTTGCTTGGTGCTTTGTAACCATCACAGGAAAGCATAACTTAGAGAAGTCCTTGGGCTATCCTAGCACACAGCACATGGTAAAAGAGTATACACAGAAGAACACAAGTGGGAACTTTACATGCCAACTTTGCTCTCCAGTTACGGACATTTGTTCTGTGCATTGTGGATGAAATTTGCCCTGGTCAAGAAGGCTAGAACAAGGCTATGCACCACTTAAATCCAAGTTTTGCCCTTCATCTGAGCACTTAAATGGAACATGGGCCTCATACCAGCCCTCTATGGGCATCTGAGGATCTACACCTTAATTCACATAAGATAAGAAAAACTTGTTTCTTTCTTTGCTGTAGAGATTTGTGGAAAACATTAGTAAACTAATAGATAACGGTGACCTGGTGGACATTGCATATTTGGCTATTTGTAAAACTTTGCAAGTTCTCTCATACTAGGCTGTGACGGAACATAAATAACTACAGAGCAGTTGGCAAAGTCTTGTTTTAGAATGGAAAATGACTAAATAGGAGGAATCAAAGAGGAATAGTGAGCAGCTGCTCCCAAGGTGCAGAGAAGATAACTGGGGGCTGTCTCAGCGACTGCCATTGAGTCAAGTGTTAGTTAAAATAGTTAATGGGAACGGAATTACTGAAGATTTCTGCTGACTGCAGTGTCAAATCTATACAGCAGGGGGTGCTGCCCTTTGCGATGAATTAAAAAGTTTGTCTTTTTCCCTATTCTCCTAATGCCATAGCCTGGCACAGTTATCATGTCTCTGTTTTCTCTGTTTCTTTCTTTCCCTTATTTCTTCCATTGATTTTTCCTTCAACTTATTTCCCACCCATGCAGTTTCCACTTTCTGTTTTCTGTACTTTTATTCACTTTTTGAGGTTCTCCTCCCTTATTTCCATGTGCACCACAACCGCTCTGAGTACAGGAGCGGTGGAAGTGCCCTAAAAGGGGGGGGGCATAGGTGCCCAAACTGTGGCCCTACGCTTCACTGCCCCTCAAGCCCCTGGTCCTGCACCACCCCTTCTCCCCAAGGCCCCGCCCCTCTCCCCGAACTCCTGCCCTTGCACTGCCCCTGCACCGCCTCTTCCCCCAAAGCCCCGCTCCAGTGCTGCCTCTTCCCCCCCCCAAGACCCTGCCCCCCTCCACTCACTCCTCTCCACCCCTCCCCCCATCACTCGCCCTTTACTCGGCTTGGTAAAAAGTGGGGGGGGGGGCATGGTCCCCTGGCCCTCCCAGTTCCGGTGCCCTTGTCTGGGTACCTATGCTGGGAGAGGACATCCATTAGTGGCTCTCTGAACCCACGTCTAGATCACAAACCACTGCCATCATAGCTATGTCAGTCAGGGGTGTGAAAAAGTGAGAGTCCTGATCGATACAGCCATGCAGGCAGGAGTCCTTAGTGTAGACAAAGTTGTACTGGCAAAACTGTGCTTTTACCAGTATATCTTGTCTCACTTGTGAGGGTAGCTTTAAAGCACAGTTTTGCCAGTATAGCTGTGTGCACCTCAGGAGCCAGTACAGTATCCCAGAATACTTATAACAGCAAAGCACTCCTACTGTAGACATAGCCCTAGTACGTGTAAACTGCTTCTGTGGGCAGTTGTATTAGTACCTGACACAAGAGCAGAGATTAAGTGACTTCCCCAAGGTCACACAGAGAGTCTGTGGCAAAAATGGGAATTGGAGCTTGGTTTACCATGTCCCAGTTCAGTTCTCTATCTGCTAGAAGCTGGACCACCTATCTACACATCCAGTTTGATGTCGATTCGACCATTTCACCTTAAATACAAGCAACAAAGCCAAAACAATTGTATTGCATGGAAACTGTGGGTATGACCCCAGGCAAATTGATTTTTTCTCATCTCTGGCTCATCTTAAAAGTTGTAAAGTAGGCATTATTAATTAAAAACATGGAGCCCAATTGTGGCAGAAATTGCACATCTATTTTTCGTGTCCAACTACCATGAATGCATACACAAATCAGATAACTGCATGTGTGAATGACAGGCTCTAGCAATCTGATTTTAAAAATCAGACCCAAGTTGTCCCACATTTTAGGTGTCTTTCTTGTACATTGCAGCAGTGAGAGGACAAACCTGAATTACTGCTGAAAAGTCAGATAAGGGGCAGAACACATTGGTTTAATTTGTTAAATAGTATCACCATCAACCTGAAATATAGTCAATTCAAATCTAATATTTTCTCTGTTTTTCTGAATGTTTTTCCTCTGTTGCTGTGTGAAAGACCCACTCAAACAACAGGAGATACTGAGTAATTATGTAACCATGAAGCTGACAGCACTCTGTGTATAGTCAAATAAACAAACTGAAAAGCATAGAGAAAGATATTTTTCTCTCTCACGCATAGTAATTTTATAACAGTAGTAGGTACAGCCACATTTTAAAACGGTAGTGTAACTTTTAATTTTGTGGGGGTCTCTTTAGGAAGTGAGGACCTTTTCTTTCCTATGAGGTATGCACGTGATTCCCCCTGAGGGGGGGGGAGTTTGGAGGAGCTCCATACTCTCAGAACAGGAAGAGATAAATTCTGTTCTCAGTTAAGGAGGAAAAGAACTTGGCCTGCCTGGATCAGGACGTGAAGGTTAGTACTGACACTAGCATAAAAAGAAATTAGTTTAACCTTAAACAGTTTGATCTGCTGGTTTCAATAACGCTACTTTCAAACACCTTAGCATAACTGTTGGTAATGGTAATGTAAAATCTTTACTATATTTAGCCGCCTGCATCAAAGGCAGTTCAAGTGGTGTTTGATTGCTATACAGGAGGATAAAAGAAGGGAAAACAGACCATTTAAATAGGAAATTAATCCAGAAAGTTAACTCAGACTTGAATAAGGCATGTTGTAAAGTGAGGGCAAACAGTGAGAGCAAAAAGCCAAAGGAGAGGGGAGGAAGAAAGCAAGAGAAAGAGTAAAGTTCAGAATTGCAATGAAAGCCTGGAACTTAGACCTGATTTCCTCTGGATCTGAGCATGAAAGCTGGCTGATATAGCATGTCGTGCTCTGCTCTGAACTATAGTGGCTGATCAAAGAATAGTGAAAACCTGTCTCTCTCCTGAGGGGTGGATGAAAGTAAAACCTGCTGCTGCTTTATATTGAATGCAGGCAATGTTGCTTTTGAAAGACTTAACTTTGTTCCCTGATTCTTGTATAGTGAAGTGGCTGCTCCAGAAAATCCAGTGAGGACGCAGCCCTAGAACTCATTATAGAAAACAGACTGCTTTAGGGGAAATGTGGAGATTAGACAAAAGCACTTAAAACATTTTCTATCATTTTGTACATAGCCATGTGTAACCCACACACCTCCTGGGTGTTGTGTTCTGACACATACACCATTCTCATCTTGGTTGACAATAAAACACACATGCAACTTTCCACCCAAAATGTGGACTGTACATTTTGCTTTCTGTATCACTGGTGTAAATGCAGTTGATTAAAGTTGATGGAGTTATTCTGGATCTACAAAGGTGTAACCGAGAGCAGAATTTGGATGTCTGGGTTTGATTTTACTCTGTCTTTATTCCATAATTTTGGTTTAAAAGCCCTTATGAGATCTTTGGCTTTCATCGTTAATGGAAGAGCTTTAGTTACTATAAGTTTCTGCACGCTATATGTTGTCGCAATGTGTGTTGACATGATATAAAGGGTAAAGAGTATTCATTAAGTGTGATAACATATCAGGGAGTATTGGGTGTACAGACAGCAAACACTGCCAGCATGCACTAAACATTATTTACCTGCAAATAACTACAAATTTGTACAATATCTTTCTTATGGATAAAATGCCATGAGGTGCCGCAATTAGTTATTTGCTTTAATAAAAAAGAAGTTATTATTGCTGCGTTATGTTTACTGTGAATATAGTCTTAGTATCAAGACAGAAAACTTAAATGATTTGATTCTTAGAATTGTTTAAAGGGTGATTGTCAATCTGAATGATTTCTAAGTCAAGATTTGGATCGAGCACCCTTTAAACAGTATGTACATCCTCAGGGAGGAAAAATATGTGAGGCTTTTTTGTTTCCCTGATGGTGTTCATGGGGGTCTATCCCACAGGAGTGAGTGGATGGGCCTGAGAGGAACACCACCAAACATGCTCAGGCCCCACTTTCTCCCTCCCTGTTTGTGTCCTAGAGTGCACTATGCTTTTAAGAGCAGAGGTTTCCAAACAGAAACTCATCAGAAAGCCCACCTGGCCTGGAGGAACCATTCCAGAAGGCGTAAACACTGAGAATTCTTCAGTCAACCTAGTTACCACCTCTTGAGGGGGTGGATTTACTACAGTAATTGTCACTTTAGTAAGTGTGTACGCTACTGCAGCATAGCTGTAGTACTGCATCTGTAGCGCTTGTAGTATAGACATACCTTGAGTAAAGTGTACAGTGACAGCAGCAGAGGCCTGAAACCTCATTGTGCTGTAAACATTCCATTATAGCAAAAACTCATTTTTGTTCAGAAACATTTTCCTTTGCTTGATATTTGTCAGGGAAGCAGAAGCAAGGAAGCATGTCTGGGAAACCCAAACTTACCTACTTCAATGGAAGAGGACGCATGGAATCAATACGGTGGCTGTTGGCAGCAGCTGGGGTGGAGGTTAGTCCATTATTTATGAAGGGGTGCTCTTGTTTAGACTCATTCAGGATTAGCCATGATTTATTTTGTTATGCTGGTGTATTACTCTGCCTTTTGGCTCGTTGTGACAGAGTTGCTTCCTAAAAGAAGCTGCCTGAAATATAATAATGTAACTAATCTATTTCATCTTTCCTTTTGCAGTTTGAAGAAGAATTTTTGGAAACAAGAGAACAGTATCAAAAGTTAATAAAAGGTAAGACTGCAGACCGGGAATTTTCTACACCCAAAGTGGCATGAGTTTAGCTAAAACTGGGTTTTACATGAGTTTACTTAAACCAGTGTAAACCCCTGTGTGGACACATTTAATTCAGTTTACATCATGTATCAATTCATAAATCACTAACCTTGACCGCCCAATCCTGTCTGGTGCCAAGTAACGCCTGCAAAGTGCTAATCATCCTTCACTTCCACTGGAGCCAGTCGATGCTGAGGGAGCTCAGCGCCTCCCAGGATCATGCCCCTGATTATTTTTATTAAATATCTATATTATGGGGGTGTCCAAAGGCCTTAATTCAGGTAGGGAGCCCATTGTGCTGGGTGTTGCCATCCCTGCCTTCAGAGGCTTTGAGTCTAAATACACAAACAAATGAAGCGTAGGGGATTGGAGAGACAACATACACGCAGATGAATCTGATGAAGAATTGGCCCAGCTTTGTTGGGTATATAGAATCATAGAAATGTAGGGCTGGAAGGGACCTCAAGAGGTCATTTAGCCCAGGTGCTGTGCTGAGGCAGGACCACGTAAACTTAGACCATCCTTGACAGGTGCTTGTCTAACCTGTTCTTAAAAACCTCCAATGACAAAGCCTCCCTTGGAAGCCTATTTCAGAGTGTAAAGACCTTTATAATTAGAAACTTTTCCCTAACATTTAACCTAAATCTCCCTTTTTGCAGATTAAAGCCCATTACTTCTTGTCCTATCTTCAATGGACATGCAGAATAATTGATCACAGTCCTCTTTATAACACATTGGAAGGTTGTTATCAGCTCCCTGCTCAGTCTTCTTTTCACAAGACTTAACATGCCAATTTTTTTTAAAACTTTCCTTATAGGTCAAGTTTTCTAAACCTTTGATAATTTTTTGTTGCTCTCCTCTGGACTCTTTTCAATTTGTCCACATCTTTCCTAAACTGTGATGCACAGAACGTGTACTGCAGCTCTTTTATTGAGGATTAGGGCCAGGGAGAAAGGAAGGGAGTAGGAAAAGGAAAGACAGGGAAGAGGAGGAGTCCATTTGTCACCTGCCTAGTCATGATCAGCAGGCTGGGTTTCAAAGACACCATGGTAGAGGCGAGTCTTAATGAAGGATTTGAAGGAAGATAAGGTAGTTGCTATTCGGATTTTTTCAGGGAATTTTTCCCATGCATAAGGGTCAGTGCGGTGGGGGGGGGGGGAAGGGACACAAAGCTGCATAAGTGTGTGTTAATGGCTAAGATTGCTGGTGGAGTCTAGATGGGAGTTGACATCACAATAAGTTGCTACATTAGTTAAATAAGGCCTTAAAGACAAGAAGCTTATCTTATCTGATAAGGGGGACCCAATGGAGGGGTTCAGAGGGATTCAGAGGGGGTCGGTGTGGTCAGAGCAATAAGCCAAGCAGACGATTTGAGCAGAAGCTCTCTGAATAGACTTAAACAACAAGGAGTTTGGTGGCACCTTAAAAACTAACAAATTTATTTGGGCATAAGCTTTCGTGGGTAAAAACCTCACTTCTTCTATGCATCTGAAGAAGTGAGGTTTTTAGCCACGCAAGCTTATGCCCAAATAAATCTGTTAGTTTTTAAGGTGCCACCAGACTCCTTGTTGTTTTTGTAGATACAGACTAACACGGCTACCCCCTGATACTTGAATAGACTTAAGGGAAGCAAGGTTGCAGTAGTCAACATGTGAGATGAGAGCTTGGCCAAGAGTTTTGGTTGTGTAGTCAGAGAGGGAAGACTGAGTTTAGAGATAACAGGGAGTCTGGTGGCACCTTAAAGACTAACAGATTTATTTGTGCTTAAGCTTTTGTGGGTAAAAACCTCACTTCTTCTATGCATCTGAAGAAGTGAGGTTTTTAC